TCCTTCCTTCCTTCCTTCCTTCCTTCCTTCCTTCCTTCCCTCTTGTTTGGTGCAATTCTATTGATCGACTAATGTAACCCTATGGAAGGATTGGTTTATCTATATAAATGTGCACCCACACCCCCACAAATCGAGGCTGTGTTCCTGCTCTGTTGATGTTCCTTGGCTACTCCTGCAGTCCTTTGGTCCAGGCCTTATTTTTACACAGGTTTTGTTATATGATAAACTGAAAGGTGGTTCCAGTTTACAGCTGGGTGTGATATTTCCACTGCTTCAACAGGGCCCTGTAGAATGTCTCCAGTTCTTGCTAGGGCCTCTGTTTCAAGCTGTCTAACAAAACGAGCTTTGATTCCTGCCTTCTGGGCCTACCCATATATAAACACAAATGGCTTTTCACTTTCTCCAGGGAAGCTTGGGGGGGGGGGGGATGGACATGAATTGCAGCATCAAAGAAAATGTAATTTTCTTAGAACCTCACCTCATAATTGCAAAGGGGGAGGAGACTCTGCCCCCAGTCTTCCTTAGTCCAGCAGTTTGTCACCTGCCTTGATTGGCAGTCGAACTGCTGTATCAAAGGCAAGCTTCCATTGCAAAGAGGGGGAGAGAATGTAAGGGTAGATGTTTCATTAAGCGCACCACTGTACTCGGTGCTTGCCATCTCTGTGGGCCAGCTGGTTTTCCTTTGCATTTTTTTTTCTAATGAGCTTTTTCAAACTGTACATTATCAGCAAACAGAGGCTTTCAGAGGGCAAATCAAATCAAATGAAATATATCTAATATAGCAAATCAAAAGCTATGGGGACAAAGCTCCATGACCTTTTTCATGGAGATACATCAGATTTCTTAAGTTCTTTGGAGAATTGAAGCAGCATTGAACAAGAACTGGACATGTTATTAGAAATTTGTGTCACACTCTCTTTGGTTTCATTTGAGTTCTCCAAGATGGCATAGACCAGACATGATTAGCACAGCCAATAAAGAAACACTGCAGGTCATTAAGGGTTTGTGTACAGAAATCCTGCAGTGAAAATTAATTCCCGCTGCAGATGCCTGAACTGAGATTGAAGTTGTTATCTACAATGGCCATTCCTGAAAATGTTGCCAACTGTGCCCAGCCTGATACCCTCCAAAATGTTTGATTTCAGTTCCCAGCAGGAAGGGCTAATACAAGCATTGCCTTTTGTCTTTTTGGTGCAAATGACAATAAAAACAACGTTTTTAGCCTCAAAATAAAAGTAGTCCCCAGCTAATGACCACATTCCAGTTGCTAACCATCTGAATTTTGATCACATGATCACAGGGATGCTGCAATGCTCATTAGTGTGAGGACCAGTTGAAAGTCACTATAATATATTTATATTATTCCCAGAAGTGTTCAATGCTGCAAATGGCATTTTGCCCATTTATTCTGCCTCTCCACAGAGCTCTATTTCCCTGTTTTTCCAGTGCAATTGTTACTTAAAATACCTTTTTCCAGCATATATGTCCATATCATTTGTAAGTAGAAATATGCATTTTTCCTACCATGTGTACGTCATGTAATCAGTTAACACATATAATGAAGCTGTGCAAAACCTTATGTGGCTATTTGATGTGTTTTCTTAGAAACTCAGATAAGCCACCTCGGGAGGATAGTCAGCAAACTGTCTGAAAAGCTGACAAACTCTGGCAACAAATGATACATACCCAGAGCCACAATATTTTTTAGTTTTTATATGTACTTGTTTTAACATTTCAGTTTACAAGCCCCTGTTTAGGTGTTCTTAATTATCCCATTATAAGAATTATGCTCAAATTTGCTATTAATTACAGCATGTGCTCACAAAAAAAATGAAAAGTATTTCTTTAATATCATGCCTATTTTTATTGGCCTTTGTTTGTTGGGATGGGGAAGATATTTTCAAAATAGTTTGAATCAGATGCCTCAATCTAATCTCACATATACATTTGATAGTTTCCAGTTTATATATCCTTAGTTGTCTTCCACATGCTATCTAAAATTTTAACTAAATGTAGCTGTGGATTTTAAAAACTACTCTGGTTGCATGCCTTCTGAGGCTGACAAGCAAAGTTGAGAAAGTCTACATTGGGGGTGGGGGGGACCGGGTGGGGGGCGGGGGGGTGGGGGGCTTGTGCAGGCAAAACAGAATAATGACCAGAATTCACTCCTCCTCTGCTTGGGCAAACCAAGATACCAAGATGAATCAAAGAGGAAAACCTGGAATTTGGTCTCATTCCGCTGATCCCTGAAAAGGTTAAGAAATTCATCCTTCCCATTTTAAAGAAGATTTTTTATTATTGCTTTCCAGTTAACAAATATTTATTTTATAAAGTTGCAAGGTATTATTTATTACATAGATTACTATTTGATTGTTAAAAACAAATCTATTTGTTTGCTAATTCTAATCTCCTGAAATAGTCCACATGTGATAAAAAAATTAAGATTTAAAACCAAAAGATATGGAAATTTAAAGGACATACAAATTCTAGAAAATATAATTGGATTGTTCAAAAATCCATTTCAAGCAGACTTGAGCATCAGCCACGTTGTCCCCTTCAAATCTCTCTTCGCCTTCTTGCCTATGAAAAAAAAAATCATTTGCACACCAGCTCCTGAGTTGCTTACAGCCTTTCTAACCAGCAGGGGGCAGTGCTCTCTATTTTTTGCAGCAGTTGGTGTTGGAAGATGTTTTTGAGGTACAGCACTACTGATTGTGGCTTAAGACTGACTGGCAGAGCAAATTTTCCGGCTTTTTTTTGTGTTTGTTTTTTTAACCCAGTGAAAGCCTCCTGAGCAGAGTCCTCCCATGGGCCTTTTTCTGTAGCTGTGCTACTAAGGCTGCTAAAGGAGACATTTTACCTTAAGAAAATGTTCTTTTAGAGAAGACCTTATTCCCTTGGAGAAATTCAGAAAAACTTAGTTTGTCTGCTTATTAATGCTCAGCTGTACCGGCACTTTTTAGCACAGCTTTTAGCCAAAAGACTAAATGATTTGTTTGTTTGTTTTGTTTTCCCCAGCAGAATATTCACAAGGACCTATCCCAACATTGTGGAATGATCCACCAGAGCTTCCATCAGGCGGAGGAGCTTTAGAAACCACCTCTCCTGCCCGCTTCTCAGATTCTACAGGATTCCCATCATACACATCTGATTATGAACTGGAGGACACAACCCATTTCCACCAGCTGGAGAATGACAATGGTATCCGTCCTTGGCAGTGAGGCTGATTATTGGGAGGGTCCTAGTGACATCTTGTCAGGCCTTCTAATGAAGGGTGGCAGAACTTACAGACACCCCCCCCTCCCGGGCTACGTGCCCATCAAGGAAAGAATGAAACCATGTGTTATTTTCGAGTGGGTCCTGAATATAATATAGCACTTTTCTTTTCCACTGGTTGGCTACTATACATAAAGAGGCCTGGCTGGCTATATCAATCCAATGGGATCTTTTAGGATCATTTTTGTTCCTCTATTACAATTAAGTTTACAATGGTTTAAGGCAGTGGCCCCCAACCTTTGGGGTATCAGGGATCGGCTCCATGGAGAGAGGTTTTTCTGCAGAGCGGAGGGGGGCATGGTTTTGTGTGCTGCCTGCATCGCATGGATGTGGCTTCACTTGTTTGCACGGCCCAGTTTCTGGCATGCTGCAGACCAGTGCCAGTCCAAGGCTGGAGGTTGGGGACCCCTGGTTTAAGGGAGTGAGTTAAGGGGAGAAAACTGTTTCCAGGCATTTCTGTACTAGAAGCAAATTGCATGTAACTTTTAATTGATGGGATGCAGGAAGCAATATGTTCATTTGCAACCAGTCTTGAGATATCCTAGCTTGCATAGAACAATGGGACCCAACCTGAGGTAAAGCTGGACTTTAGTTGTGCTAGTGGAAGTCTGTTCAGGGGGTACCCAAACTGATTGGTTGTGAGTCCTTCCCATCAGCAAGGAGTACTGCTTATGGCAAATGTGCACCTGATATCTTAGAACAGGGGTAGCCAACTTTTTGGACCTCAGGGACCACCAACCTCATAATTCTAAATTCCGCGGACCAGAGACCTTGGGAAAATCCCCCAAAAAGTCTGCAGGAAAATTCCCCACTCCATTTTCCTACTGATCAATCATTCTTTTCTTTTTTTTTTGTAAATTTTATTTGAGTTTTCACAAAAAGAAAAGAAATACAAATAAAACATCTTTTTTGAAAGCAGCATAATCCCGGGTTACATTTCTTCGTACAGACACAAATTCAGGTTCATGCTCATTTTTATATTCTATTCCATATCTTATTACAATTTTACATTTTCTACATGGCTTCTCCCCTCTTTTAATTTCCTCAATTTTATTATATTTATTTCATCTCAATTCAAATCATTATATTTATATTTTTTGTCTGTCCTGTTTCAATTGTCTATTATCTTTTCTCATTAAACAAAATTTCTCCTGTAGTTACTGATTGGAGTATGACGCCTTTATATCTTTCCCCTAAAGTTATAACACTCAATATAATACATAACTTCCATTTGGATTCTGCTTGGTACATTCTTAAACTACACACAGTATTCTTAAAAAGAAAAAAAAAGAAAAAATTATAAATGTATATAATTAAAACAACATTCCATTCCAATTCAATTCTATCATTAATATTGATATTCATTAAGGTCTTAATGTTTTTCACGTTACTTTTCAATTAAATATCATACTTCTATGAGAACAATTATAAACTTTCCATAGTTAATTCCCCCCCCCTTCACTTATATAAAACATTGACTAATTAAAATGTTCCCGTTCCTTCCTAATTCAATTTTCTCATTTATTTTATTTCATTTACTTTATTCACAAACATTTCACTAAATTACACTAACTATTTTATCCCTCATTCTAATATGTTGTTTCCAATTTTCTAAAGTTATTTCTATTACAAATATAACAATACAATCTTATGTAACTTTACAGAATCCCTTTTTCAGTTAAATTTTCACCCATTATCTCTAAATAGGTGCTGTTTCTTTATATCTTGCTCCGGACCCTTGTTACTTCTTTTCCTTTCCTTCTTCCCTCTCTTCTTGTCTCTCCCCTTTTTACCCCCTTGTCTCTCTACCTCTATTTCCCTCTTCTGTATTCCCCTTTTCTGTTGCTTTCCAGTATTATACTTATTTTTTGAATTATTTTTCTTTTCTTTGGTTGTTTTTTTAAGTCTTAAATTCTCCATCCTCTTTCCCCCCTTTCCTTTTTCTTCCCCACATAGAGTTACTTGTTCATTAAAGATGACTTCTTCTTTGTCCCTGTCTTCTTGTTTTGTAGTCTTTTCTTGTTGTTTCTCATAGTTCCAGACCTCCATTTCTAGGAATTGAAAAACGAAGCCAAAAGAACCCTTCCCTTCTTGTGCATCTTCTTTGTACTTTTTAAGTTCCATTTTCAATTCATCCAAAAGTGATGCCATTGTAGAAATTTTTAAACAACCACCCGATTGATTTTAATCATTCAAATATAATAACCAAAAATCCAAAAGTCACCAGGTAATCCAAATACACGCAAGCTGTTTCTTTTTTTCCCACTTTCTCTTCCTGGGGTTACTATTTAGTTGCAAAGTTTCAGTTAAAATGTATCTTTTAGAAGTCTTTATTGAAATTTTACTTTAGATTCTTTTAAAGTCCAGGCAGTCTCCTCCCTCTTCCAGATCCTGCCCTTATTCTTTCTCTCTCCCTTCCTGCTTATAGAAGAAAGTTTTTAATGTCCAGAAATTTTATTGTCTCTTTGGCATTTAGTTATATTTTCAGCTTAACTGCCTATTGATGCCAAAGTGGATTTTTCCAATTTCTTATTTAGGTCTCTTAGTTGTCAATATAAGGAAGGAGAGAGAAGAAAGAAAAAAAAAGCCAAACCTTTCCCTTTTCACTTTCTTTCGCTGCTTCCGACTCTTCTTTGGGAACGATGTTATTTCTTGTAAAATTTAAATTCCAGGGTACCTTAGTTGTTCCTTTTTCAACTTAGCCCAGTCAGCCAAAACTTTCACTTCTTATCTTCCCCCTGCACGTTCTTTTCCGGTTGAGTTCTTCTTTGAGATGGCCATTTCTGACCACCGCTCCTACTGCCTTCGGGAAAGGGAGTAATGGCCAGCTGAGGAGAGATGCAGCTCTCCTCGACCCTGCTGGCGGTCTCCCCCCTCTTCACCACCTCTACAGGGTGGCTTAGCCCCGAAACCAGCCGGCGAGCCCAGGCAGAAACCGTGCACGATCGCGGATTCGTCTGTCACCAAAGCCCTTCAAACCGGAAGTCCTGATCATTTTTAAAGTATTGGCCTTCCCATGTTGATCAGGGTTGTCTGCAGAGGGGATCAAAAGGACATAACCATATGATCACACTCTTTAATATGTATCATGGGCATCCTTTACAGAGGGAGCAATAATTCCCTATCCAGGACAGCAGTTGCTTAGCTTTTTAGCTCTAACAAGGATCACCTGGTGGTGACCCAGGACTGGGAATGCAACATACCAGCCTGGAGCTTTATTCTCCTCCTGCAGCTGTGGTTTTAGGCATAATCTACCAAAATAATTATATTGGCCTTTGAGTGTATCTCATTTTTAATTAATTTACTATTGCATTGTTTGCTGAATATGCCAATCCAAGTGCTCTTCTTTCTTTCATCTCATCTGCAGAGTCTCTGGGTCCTGGGGCTATCGGTGCCATAGTGATTGCTGCTCTGCTGGGAACGTCTGTGATTGTGGCCTTGATTGTTATCACTCTACGAAAATGTTCTTCTTCCTAAAATTAATAAAACGTGCTTTCCTCCCCAAGTATACTCTTGTTGAACCTTCCTTTCCTCCATGCTTGCATGTTTTGGGAGAGAATAGGAAGAACAAAGGTACACCTGCATTTCAGAGGCCAACCTGTCCTCAAGCCACCTTGCACCACGGACACAATGCTTTTCCTTTCATACAAAAGACCTTGAAAATTCCTAAAATGTCTAATAATTGCAGTTGGTTGTTGGGTGGGAAGTACATCTAGACTGACCGAGAAGCTGCTACAACCATCAAGTTCCTGACAAGACGACGCTTGCACCACCAAATATTATGAAGCCCATACATTACTGAAAGGCCACACTACGTTCATGCATGCACTTAAAGGCACATATTAAAAATGACTGTGAAGGCTTGATTGCGAAAGCAAAAGTAAAATTATAACCAGCAGCTTAGCTTTTGATTCCTGAAATACTAGTGCTAGGGAGTAAGAACAAGCTGTTCTGTATTTATTTTCAGATGGCCTGATTTTATATTCTGTTATAATTAAACAAGCCTTTTTCCCCTAAATACGATGTTTGCCCTTTCTTTTAAAGCAGACAAGTTACGTTTTGTTAACATTGGATATAATTTTGGGGAGATGAGGAACACAAAGGTTAATATATGTGTGCGTGTGTGTTTTCTGAGGTTTTCGTGGATATTTGTATGTGGATCTTTGGTTATTCGGGTTTTCTCCCACGTAAAATTGGAAGTATCTTGGCAACGTTTCGACGAAATCTCATTCGTCATCTTCAGGCTTGTGTCTTCGGCTTTGTGCTTCTCGGAGTAAGAAGCACTTTTACTCCGAGAAGCACAAAGCCGAAGACAGAAACCTGAAGATGACGACTGAGATTTCGTCAAAACGTTGCCAAGATACTTCCAATTTTACGCGGGAGAAAACCCAAATAACCAAAGATCCATATGTGTGTGTGTGTATGTGTGTGTTTTCGCGGGTACTTACATGTATGGTATTCGGCTTTGTTCGGGTATTTTCCCACGTCATTATAGTTGTGCTTTTAAAGTTGTAGCAACGTTTCGGCAGAATCTCATCTGCCATCATCAGGCTTCTGTATAGTGTTCGTCTGTGAGTCAGACTTTCACAGCCGTTTCTCTTTTAAATTTGGGGCTAGCCTACTGCTGTGCCAGAATGGTTTTTTCTCCATCCTGATTGGTTGAGAGTCTTGGTCTGTGTTTATTGGTCTTGGAGTTTGCTGTGTTCTGCTTGATTGGTGTTTCTAATATCTTCTGTTTTGTATCTTTTTTTGTCTTGATTGGCTGGCAACATTATGTTTCCTGTATTGGAGGCTTTTAGTGCGGCTTGGCTCTGAGTAAACGGACGGCTATCATTTATTAGGAAGCTAGGTTTCATGTGGGTGCCTGGTTGGGGTGTGTTTGAGCTGGAGGTATTGGGGGAGTCTGTTTGTGTCCAGGTGTTTGTCTGGCTTGTGGTGTGGAGATTTTTTTGTTTGAGAGCGCAGGCTTCCAGATAATTGACAGTCTGGTGGAGTCATCTCTTCTATTCATGCTTTCAGGTCTTTTTTCAATCTCTAAAGCCAAGCCACACTAAAAGCCTCCAATACAGGAAACACAATGTTGCCAGCCAATCAAGACAAAAAAAGCTACAAAACAGACAGAAGATATTAGAAACACCAATCAAGCAGAACACAGCAAACTCCAAGACCAATAAACACAGACCAAGACTCCCAACCAATCAGGATGAAGAAAAAACCATTCTGGCACAGTGTAGGCTAGCCCCACATTTAAAACAGAAACGGCTGTGAAAGTCTGACTCACAGACGAACACTATACAGAAGCCTGATGATGGCAGATGAGATTCTGCCGAAACGTTGCTACAACTTTAAAAGCACAACTATAATGACGTGGGAAAATACCCGAACAAAGCTGACCACACACACATATATATGTATGTATATATGTGTATATATGTGTGTGTACACATACATACACACACACACACACACTTTTACTTTGTTTGTGTAGAACATCATCATTTGTTGCATGCCCTTATGAACATGCACTTCTATTTATTTGACCAATAATATATGACAGAGTGGTGCAATTACTATAAAAAGTGAAACTCTACTCCCATCTCTCAAATGGTTAATTTGGTTTGGGAGTTAATTGTGAAATTAGGTATTAACCCAGGCTTAGTTGTGTCAAAGGGTACTTGATTACTGGCTTGTGAGGTTAGAACCACACTAGCCATTCCTATGGAGCCACTTAAGATCACCTTTTGCACAATTTTGTTTGGTAGAGTTAAAAAGGAAGTTGAAACTTTCCAGTGGTAGATTTGGCCGAAAACCTCCTTAAACTGTATATTAGATTATCTAACCTAAAGTGAGCTCTTCTTTCCATTTACAAAGAACTTTCTCTGCCAGGAATTATCTGTGCTTCCTTAGACATTGGAATAGCTTCTCAGAGTATTCAATCTTAAATTGTTTGTAAAGTATGTTGACTTGGATCACAATTGTTGGGTCTCTGAATTTTCCCCAGTTCTAGCCAGCCTGATTAATAGTCATGGATTCTGGGATTTATAGCTGAACACCCAGAGAATCCTAGGCTCCTTTATTCCTTCCCTAAAGTATTAATATATCACATATATTAATATATCTCATATTTATTCATATATAACAAGAGATTCTTTGAAAGATGGCTTTCTTCTATTGCTTACAGGATTCTTCCCAAACCTGACCCCTATGAACGTCTGTGGGGCTAAGCTTCCATAAAGTCCAGCTAACATTACCAGATCGTCCTTTTATAAAGACATAATTGCTCAACTTATTATAGGAACTTATTTGTACATTGCTACAATTTTTAGATATTTTCATGTTTTTATACAATCTTATCTCCTTTATTATTTTGCAAGTAAAATACTCAAAGGCACAGCAATGGTACAAGCAAAACATGATTGGTATTAGATTAAAATTGTGAGGCAGGAATGGACGCTTTCTCTTCAAAACTCAGCCACTTTGGTGTTTTTAGACATGTATCAGTATAGCTCAAGAAAAAAAAGTTACCTTAAATGCAATTTGGAAAACTAATTTTGGAAGCAACAAAACACAAGGATATTTTAATAATACTGGTCACAACTACATTGGCTAGGAACATGAGTGGGCGAGATTTTTTTTCTAATATAATGTTTACAAAAGTTTTCAGATATTCACTCTCTGTCCTTTCAAGCTGAAAAGTCTTACTTCTGGAAATTGTTACTGATAATGATAGAACAAAACCATTTAGACCAATGGCCTTTCATATTTTATAAGAGTTTCATCTCTTCAAAAGCGTCTCAATTTTGGGCAAATTAACACTTTGTTCTATTTGTGCCTTGTAGAAAGGGCATTTAATAAATTAAGAGTATATAAATATATGCTTCTTGATAATTGCTTCTGTAACATTTTTAATATGCAAGATGCTTTACAACCTTTTAATCTGTTAGGCTCGGGCCCATAGCTGACCATGTGGCTTTTCCAAAATAAAAAAGATATTGATGCTTTTTATGGCTCTGTATTAAATTATAAGACATTTCTTGTTCTTTTGGCTCAAGGCTTTCCTGTACACAAAGTTTAAAGTACAGACTTCATGCACTTTGCTAAGGGTGCACAACAAATGAGTAAAAACACATTTCTATTACTTTGATACAACTTTGGAAACATTTAATACAAACATCCACCTTTTGTCTCAGGTCCACTTAATTTCTTTGCATGGGCATTGGCTCTTATTGGTGCACAACTGCAGAACGAAGGAGCAAAAGACAGAACTTCGTTGTTCTGACTCTGAACGATACACCGATGCTTCCCAGATGTAGCACCTATTTGGAATGTTATGAGTAGCTTATTTGGCTGTGAAAAATGTTATCTGCTTTTCTTTTATATTTTTCAACATATGGAAATGCTTCAGTGTATGCAAGATACTCAAGCAAAGAAATCTCTTCAAGGGATATTGTCTCAAATATTGCATTCTCCTATACAGTTCAGTGCAGCACTTGCTTAGCACAAACCCCTTAATATAATGGTCCCCAAATTTTGTAACTTGGCTTAGGGGGAGGAAGAGGAAAACCTGGGCTGTGTGAGTGGCAGGCCAGTGTGCATGCACACACAGCCCTTGTGCAAGTGGTGGGCCAACATGCATGGGTGCAGCTCGACTTGCACATGCAGCGGGCCGGCACACATGCGTGATTGCCTGCCAGCTCGCCACTTGTGTTCTGCCAAGCCACTCACATGGCCCAATTCCAAATAGGCCGCAGCCCATACTGAGCTGCAGCCCAGAGGTTGGGGACCCCTACCTTAATATACTCCCCATTTTGGCACTAATTCCAAACACAGCTATACGCTGTCTGGTTACCAGTGGTAAGTGTATGAAATAATTACGTTTGGATAAGTAAGAGCAGTTGGTGATTAATTAGTCAGGGAGTAATGGTTCTTATAAAACAGAATAATTGATTCAGTATCATCCTGCGTAATATGGTATCATTTTAAGAAGTGTAGGCTACACAGGTCAATAAAGTAGAAGAATGATAATCTGAATTCCCAATTGGGCCACTGCAACCAACTGATTCTTATTTTAGAAAATATACTTTGCATGCTTCAATATTACCTTCTAGAACGTAGAAGTTCATAACCAAGACACCCAGGTAAATAAATATTATGGTGCATTTTAACTATATAACATTGCACTTCCTAATCTTTTTGTTACCTCCACCTTTCTTCCAAAACACAAGAAGAAACTAGTTTATCACATGAGCAGTTCAAACTCAGTTCCTAGGAGAAACTTCCTGAGTATAGAAATATGGAAGTTGACAATTTCTAGTATAAACTTTCAGTGTAGTATTGTCCACAACTTCATTATCTTTCCATAAAATCAAATGCTGCACTTTTTTATACCATTGGATAAGATGCCAAAGAACCAAGTTGTTGCATTTATGGACATTGACATAATTTTCCCAGATGCTCAAGTGATTAGTTTCTTCATCATGCAGTTAATAAATTTACAATCTTCAGAGT